ACCACAGGTTCACCTCAGTGAGGTGAACACACACGAGGACAGAGAGGGAAGAACAGGTCAGAGACACAGCGGCGTCCAAACAAACGCTCCCATCATATGAATAACGAACCTGTTTTATCACAGAGTTTGTCCCGGGACAGAAACGCAGCTCTCTGCAGCAGCTGCCGCCGTCGGACCAAGACTTTGAACACACATCACAGCTCAGACCAGTCAAAGTCCAGCTCAGCAACCTTCAAAAAGTTCTGCTTTTCACTCTCTGCTTTTATGACATTACACTGAAGCAGTGAAACTTAGTGGAGAAGAACAGAAGTCCACTGGTCAGTGTCCATCACCGCGGCAAGGACAGAAGTATGACTGCTGGCACACACACAGATCTCTGAGCCTGCTGCTGGAGGAGCCAAGGACTGAAGCCATTCATCACACAGCAAGAGTGTGTGTGTTTGTGGGAGATCAATACCATATAAGCAGGACACCAAGTTAAAGTCTCTGCTTCTGCTGCGTCTCCACCGTCAGGAGCTGCTGTGCTTCATCAAACACAGACTGATGAAGGACCAGGACCCTGTAAAACTGAGGGTCTCCACCCAGTCCAGTCCCTGAAACTTCAACTTCATTTCTGTTTATAGTTGAACACCAGATATTTTTCAAGTCCTGGTTGAATGAGGTCTGTATCTTTATCCCCGCTAACTTTGCCGAGCTGCGGTTTTAGTCAATTAGCCCAGGAAGTGAGGCAGTCGCTCTTTCTAATAAAGTGTCTGCCAACATGGATTAAAAGGGAAAAAATGTTTAAGCTACTTAACAAAAAAGCCCATGTAATTATTGCTTAACTACTTAAGTCTGCAAAATCTTGTTGTTTATTTTTCCTCATCATTAACCAGCACCTCTGCACCCAAAATTTTAATCTGGGTTTTCCTCATGGCTCACTCCAGTCACTGGATCCACTGAGAAACTCATTCATTAGACCGACTGAAAGAATAAGTCAATAAGCAACGATGTTTCGTTTTTCGGTGAAAATTCCATGATTTGCAGTACCTCAGCAGACTCTCTAGGGGTCGCTCACCCCCTGTTGGAGTCTATGGCCCTAAAAGAGAAGTATGACTTCAAATAATCTGAAAAGGTGTGTTGTGGTTGTAGCCTAACACAATGATGTTAAAAAAGTCCTCATGCACCACTAGAGGGAGCTAAATAATTAGCAGTGGCTTGCGTACCACAGTTTGAGAACCACTGCAGTGTTGGATCATCAGGTCAGATTCAGCTCCTCTACAGTTTGATGGACAGGAGCTCCAGACGCCAAAGGTGAACGTGGGGTGAGACAGGCAGCAGGAGGAGGAGGAGCTGATATTTTTTTTTCTTACTTTTTGTTTTTTTCCTCCCAGACGCAGCATTCCTGTCTTATCTGTTCCAGGCAGGATTCCTGATAAGAGGCCCACATCTCACAGCCCACATCTCACAGCCCATCTACAACTCCTCACACTGTCTCTCTCTCTCTCTCTCTCACACACACACACACAGAGAGATCCACCCACACACTTCACTGCTGAGGGGGGATCAGGGGGAGACTTTTTTAAAGAGCTGTCTTCGGGCTCCATCTGTGATAAGTTTTGTCTCCCCCACTGCTCTAAGTGATGGTGATGAGAGGAACCACACAGACCGTGAAGTGAGCAGCAGCAGCGGCGGCAGCGGGAGGGGGCACAAAAGACGACACCGGCGCCAGCAGCGGCAGGGCACCGGGGGCGGCAGCGGGGGCGGCAGCAGCAGCAGCAGCAGCGGATGAGAACCATGAAGACATGTTTACATGCTAAATGACTGTTTCTCTGACATTTTTCCAACTCCTGAGCTCACAGACCCCCACTCACACAGACCCCCACTCACACAGACCCACCCATCACACTCATTCCCAGGCAGATCTTATCCGTGTGAAAAGACAATTTTCTGCTCATAATGATTCTCCTTTATTTCACAGCTGTATTTATATTTTTCTCCTCGTTTATCTGCCAAACGCTGAAAACGATCTTGTCTCCAATGCTGTGACGGAAGGGACGTTTTTTTTTACAGGACTTTTTACGGCTGGTATGAAATTATACTGAACCTTCCTACGGAGGTTAGTTGAGGTTAGTCTGTGGACATATGGGAGAGGATGGCTGTGGGGAAGACAAAAACTAAAAACTAGGCATGGCTCACTTCAACTTCTTCATGTTCGATACAAATAATTCAACTTGGATTATCTGCCGACACCGATATCAATCCAATACAGGTTTTCAACGTTGCTGTGGCGATATCGTCTCTGTTTATGTCATGTTGCGTATAGTTACGTTTCGCACATTAACACACCGAGAACATGAATAAACCAGGGGTCCAATCAACTCATTAGAACCACAGATCTGACCAGTAGAGATGGACCTGATGGTCCTGACAGTCCCACACTGGTACGCTGCTGTAAATAAATCAATAAAAATGAGTTTGCCCACTGTCACCCGGTGCCTAAGGATCTAATACAATCCTTTATTACTTTTACAGCTGCTCTATGATTCACTGTGTGACAACAGTGGGGCTGGAAATCCTCCAAATACCCCCAAATGTCATCAGTCC